GGGGTTTGTTTGTTTTTATTAAAACCAACAAGCTTTGTATAAATTATGTGACAGTAAGTGACTGCAGAAGAGATGGTGTGCGACCTCCCTTGAAGGCTGATGGTGGAGTTCTGCAGGGAGTTTGTCTCAATTTAAGGAGAAATTCAGGCTGGAGCTCTGGGTGCTGAAGGTAGAGGCAACACTAATCCCGAGGACCAGAGGAGATACTGAATCCTGATTTCCCAGGGTAACTGAGGGCTTGGAGAGTTTTTGATTTGGGGTGTTTTCGTCCTTTCAGAGGTTGGTTTTATTTCAGAAAAAGCCATTTAATCATAGAAACATGAAAGAAGGAAGGGTTAGAAAGGGTATGTTTTCCTCCTTAGGCAGTGTTTCCTAAAGCAGGTCATGACCCTTTTATGCAGGAATTTTGCAGCTGCTATCCTAAGGGTTGGAACTGAATCTGAGAGCCTACAGAGGCGAAAGCAGGGGGTATTAAACAGATCCTAATACCCGCTCGGGGTCTCTTTCCTCCCCCTCCTCCCCCAGCCCTCAACAAAATGATCTCCTGCTTTTCAGGAATAAAGCAGCCAGCATTTGGCTGTGCCCAGTTTTCATTGTTTTGCTAAGCTGTTATGCTGGGAAGAGATTAACTGGGGAGCGAATTTTCTCCGAAAGCTGATCTTGAGGGAGGCTGAGGGAAGAGCCTCAGCACTGACCTTGATCCGAGTGTTTTGAGGTGGGGAGCAACCATCAACTGAGGCCAAGAACATTAACCCAGTGCTGCCCCACAGCCTTGCAGCTGAACAGCACTGGGGACTGTGCTGGGCTCTGATCACAGCAGATCTGCATCTGCTTGGAGAGTTGGGTTGTCTAAGTTGTCTCACCGTAGCACAAACTGCCCTTGTGTTTTTTTTTTTTTTCTCATTGAGGGTGGTTCAGAGAAGTTATGGATGCCCCATCCCTGGAGGGGTTCAAGGCCAGGCTGGGCTGGACTTTGAGCAACCTGGTCTGGTAGGAGGTGTCCCTGCCCATGGCAGGGGGTTGGAACAAGATGATCTCCAAGGTCTGTTCCAACCCAAACCATTCTATGAATCTATGATTTGTAGCACCCAGGGAAGGTAGCAGCCAGGGAAGTCACTTCATTCCCCTCCTTTCCCTATATATTTGTCATCTCCTAAAATTTCAAAAAACTTCCTTGCCAGGCTTGGCCTTTTTCTCTCCGTGTAGCACCCAGGGAAGTCACTTCATTCCCCACCTTTCCCTATATATTTGTCATCTTCTCCTAAAATTTAAAAAAACCTCCTTGCCAGGCTTGGCCTTTTTCTCTCCGTTGGTGTCATCGTCTCTATGCTTGTTTTCACTTGGCGATGTGTTTAGCATCCTTGCTGTGCCTTCTCTCCTTCCCTTCTCTTGCCACCCTGGCATTTGACAAACAAATTGTATGGTTCCAAAGCCCCGAGTGCCCGTGTTGCTATGTTTTCTCTACTCCTCAAAGAAGCATGGAAACCCGGCTTTGTTTGGTCCCCGAAGCGCCGCACGCCGCCGTCGCTGCTACCAAAGAGCAGCTTGCTTGTGGCACATCGTGCTGCAGCTTGGCTTAATCCTTGCTTGATACGCTTTTGAGATTTCATTGTTTCTCTATAATTAAGTGCTACAGAGGAGCTGAAAGAAATGACGAATTAGCGGGTGAGGGGGGGAGTGGGGAGAGCAGGTGGTGATCGAACTGGAGAGAGCTGCCAGAGAGGTAGGAGCAGCAGGGAATTAAATGGGAGGAGTCTGGAGTTGGGATGATTCCCTGCCATGTGCCCAGAAGGATTTAGTTTGGGATTTCATTCCTGTTCAAATAATGCTGCACACCCTTAACAGATCGGGTCCCTGTAGGCTGGGGCATTCTCCAAACACTCAGTGAAAAGCAGTTTTTGCCCCGAAGTCCTAGTGAGCATTGATGAGGCAGGCTTGAGGACTGGGGAGGAGCTGTAGAATGCATGGTCCTGCTTTTAATTAGCCTGCATCTATTGTTTCTGGTAGTAACATCTTAAAAAAAAAAAAAACACCCAAAATAAATAAAACACAAAGCCATTCTTTGTGTAGTCACTGCCATAAAACCCTGGACTTCACTGTCATCTTGTGATACCACTATATCTTAAAAAAAAAAAATCCCAAAATAAATAAAACACAAAGCCATTCTTTGTGTAGTCACTGCCATAAAACCCTGGACTTCACTGTCATCTTGTGATACCACTACCATAGACCGAATCTTTCCGTTCTGGATTGTAAGAAGCATCTCTGCCAGCCATGCTTACACCAACTGGGTTTAACTGGCACAGAAATCCTGGCACATCATTTTGGGGAGGGAAGCAGACATTTGCTGAAGCTCATTGAGTGTCTGAGATATCCAGAAGGAGTCCTTGGGCGCAGATACTCCTGGGGTGATGAGGACCCTGCAGGTAGCTTTAGAGGCAAAAATATGTGCCGCAAAACTAACTGAAGAGTGAAAAGAGCTGTGTGACAGGACAGTCCTCTGAGATGCAGTCATGTATTCTTCCAGCATCTGGTTTGTGTTTTCAGCCTCTTTATTACTATGCACCAAGACTTCCAGAGAAAGAAATGATAATACTGATGCTTTGAATGTGTCAGCAGCATCGTTTCTTCTGGGATCTAACTCTTTCCAAAGAAATGATACAGGCACAAGTGTTTGTGTGGTTTTTTTTTTTTTTTGTCCTGGGTTCCAAAAGGCTATTGCTGTAGTGAGACCAGCAGTAATGGGAAATCCAAACTCACTTCTCCTACCTTTTGTCACTGCTTGTGTATGCTCTGCTGTCTTTGAGTCACTTTGTTGTGTGTTTTCACTTTTTTTTTTTCTTTTTTTTTTCTTCCCCCTCCCTGAAGAAGCAGCAGGAAAGTTCAGAGGAAGCAGGTACTGGGTGGAGAGGAGCAGGTCAGGGCAACCCAGGATTCCTGGTGGGGAATACGCTTGTGCTGGGGCTGCTGCTTTTGTGTTTGAGTCCTGCATCTTGTTCCCGATAAACAAAGCGACCACAGAGCAGTGTATGTGGAGGTTTGCTTTTGGGTTGTTTGTCCTGTGCTTAATACTGTGTATTTCAGCCCTGCTCCTGGCAGTCTAGCCAAAGCCAGCTGTCAAAACCTCCTCCCCTTGCTTTTTCGGAGTGCTTTTAGTTAATGGCTGCCCAGACTCTTCCATTGTCTCCATCCTTTGCTCAAGACCCTGCTTATGGCACTCAAACTTCGCTTTCAAAGACTCTTGTTAAATATTCTTGCCCCTATTGCCATCCTTTTCTTCCACCTAAGCTTTTCCTGGTAGCTTTGTTTTGCACTCTGCAAGGAATAGTCTCTGAAAAATAAGATGCGTGAAAGTAATAAATGGCCTCAGTCTTGAACTTTTTAAAAACCCATTTGCTTCATGAAATAGCACAGCTTTAGCAATCTTGCCGGTTTGTGTTCTGCACGTTGCTGCCTTCTGTCGTGAAAATGTAAACTCCTAAGTGCAGGGAATCCCTGGCAAGCTGGAGCTATTGTCCAGGGCACACTTGCAATGCCATATAAAGTGAAGTGAAACTCCTGTAGCTCTGCTACAGCCAGTAATGGTTGAAGATCAGAGGGGCAGAGTCCCACAGTTTGGGGCTTTGTCATTTATTTCAGTGTGACTTTGGACAGAACAATTTTTCCTGTGTCTTTCAGGGCCGGATTATGAGTTTTTTTCACACCTGATGCTTTATTTGAGTTTGGCTGTGACTTCATGCAACTTGCTCCGAGGAGTCTATTGATAGTGGCTGTAGAGAGTTTCAGTAGCCTTTGTTTGAAGATGAGATTGTAGGGTTTATCTAAACAAACTAGGAAAAAAAAAATGTTTGCAAAAATGTTTGCTTGACCTGTATTGTAGAATCTGGAAGGAGGTTTTAGAGTATTAAGAATAGGACACTCTGTTAAAATAGCTGTTTTATTTCAAAATGCAGAGTAGGTGTTCCCATCTCCCTCATCAGGCCAAGGGGGTTCAGGAGTTATGCCTGGGTTAATGAACAAAATAGCTGTAGTTTTATTTTTAATAAAAAATATTAAAAATAATTTTTAATATTGGCAATAGGGAGCTCTTGAGCTGTTTTCCACCTATCCTACCCCTTTTTTATTAATTTGAATTTATTCCTTTTCAGTGAAGTGTGTAAATGTGGCGAACGAAGATCAGGGTAGAAAATAAAGCAACAAGGTGTCCTATTGATAAGACCTGAATGTTGCAACTGTTTCTGGAGGCCAACAAATAGGGGTTTAACATCAACTAGATTTTAAATCTCACTGTTGCAAACTCCTTTTGATATCAAAGGATGTGATATTGCTGAGCAGTTTAAATCCAGGACTCTTACTGCTACTTCTAGCAGTTGGAACAACTGTACATTAAAAGATGCTGTTTATTTCCCTATTTAAATTTAAATGTTCTCTGGCTGTGGTTTTCAGCCCAGACACCGAGGCGGGTGTGCTACTACGTGAGAACTGGAGCTGAACAGGCTTGAATGAAGCCTACCTCGTGTCTCTGCATAAAATGAGGGGAGACGAGAACAGCAATTAGTACAGAAAAATATTTGAAAAATCTCATTAGTGTCGGTAGCAAAGTGTGGGGCTTGTTTCAACACCTTGGGTGAACACATCAGGTTAAAAGTCTGTGTGGCCTCAGCGGCCTTTCACTTCAGAGCACACAAGAAGAATCCCCCCTCTGTTATAAGTAAGCTGGAGACTGGGGTGGGTTATTTTTTTTTTTTGTCTGCAGAGCTATAATGATCCCTCATAAAGATCCACTTGTTTTCCTTTGGTTTGCCCAGGACTTCCATGTTGCAGCTGAGCTGACCCGCTGAGTTGCACAGCCCTGGAGTGCCTGGGGGGTTGTCTTCACTGGGTTTTCACCTGGCTCTGCTGCCTTCATTCACTGGCACCCGTAATTTTGTTGTGTGACCTCCCTTTCTGCTGCAGTCCCAGAATATATTGCTAACTCTTGTCTCTTTTTTCACCCGCAGGGAGCGGAGCGACTGCGGTGGTGCAGGCTGCCTTCTGCGCTCCGAAGAAGGAGAAGGTGGCAATTAAAAGGATCAATCTTGAGAAGTGTCAGACGAGCATGGATGAACTCTTGGTACGCAATCCAAATTGTCTGGGGAGGTTTATTTCATTGAGCATCATCTCCCTTTGCTGAGTGCCTTAAACAACTTTGCTTGAGGTGCTGTGAGGTTGAGGGGATTTGACTGATTTCACTAGAAGCGGTTCAGTTGTCCTGGATGTGGAACACTACTTACAATGTTAAAAAGATCAACTGTTGCAGAACTTCAGGCTATTTGTTTAGAGCTAAGTACTTTGAATAATCCCTTTGTTTTGAACAGAATTAATGTGCAAGTGTGAAGCTCAGCTGTGCCCACAAGAGCTCTGCAGTTTGAGAGGGATCCAGAGCTACACGCTTCCAGAATCTTTAGCATTTAAGAGTATGGCTTTCCTTACTTTTCCTTTCCTGCAGTTCTCTACATTTTTTTTTTTCCTCTCCCTCCAACTGTAAGGACAAAAAATGAATTAGCTCTTCTTGAATCTCTTTCCAGTACTGATGCCAGCTAAGGGATCACTCTGACGTATTGCAGGCTGCCATATGGAAACCCCCACTAATCTGAGTTCAGGACAGGAGGTGGAGTGCTTTGGAGCTGTAGCTCTGTAATTTTCTTCTGCTGTGTCCCTCTTCTCTCAAGATTTTCTCAATGGAAAACAGCTTCTGGCATGTAGCTGTGGTGACTAAAATTTCCTTTTTCTTATCTGGCTTGTGTGTTGATGGGCTTCATCTTCTCTGTTTCTGTGTGTGTGGAGTAGGAGAGTAGGGCAGCAGCTGCCACGTCCACCTCACATATGGAAGGTTGGGCAGAAACAGGCAGCTCTGTGACACACTTGTTTTGGTGACCGCAATTAGAAAGTAGAACAGGGACAGGATTCAGGAGTCGTGGCTGGATCTACTCTTGTATGATCTTCAGCAAGTCACTTGAGCCACGGTTCCAGTTTCCGTCTAGTGACTAATGCTATTTTTATCATTATAGGTATATCTGTAAATCTATATCTGTAAGTCTGCTCTATCCACCTCACATATGGAAGGCCGGGCAGAAAGAGGCAGCTCTGTGACACACTTGTTTTGGTGACCGCAATTAGAAAGTAGAACAGGGACAGGATTCAGGAGTCGTGGCTGGATCTACTCTTGTATGATCTTCAGCAAGTCACTTGAGCCACGGTTCCAGTTTCCGTCTAGTGACTAATGCTATTTTTATCATTATAGGTATATCTGTAAATCTATATCTGTAAGTCTGCTCTTGTAAGGAGGAAAGGCTCCATCCAAACGGTCACATTTCAGTGTGCCTGTGAAGGGTTGTGTGCAGGACTCTTAAGATGACCTGCATTCAAATCCTCCTATGGCTCATGCTACTGTAAGGGTTTGAGATCTCTCCCCTTTTCACAGTCAGTCTTTTTGTCCCAATGCCATTCCTTGGTGCTCTTCTCAAGTCTTTCATGTGGCTTGTCCCCACTACTCTGCCTCAGCTGTATTCCAAACTGTATAGTCATGGTGTAGTGATTGAGATTAATAGTCTTTGAGTAATTGCCAATTCCAGCTAAAAGGGTTAGGTTCAGAAAGACGTGCTGCAGAGACTTGACATGTAATTTTAGATGAATACTTTTAACTGTGGATTTTAAATGTCTGCTGACCTGTTCCTCACAATATTTTTTCTTGTTTTGGGAGGTAAGTCTGCTCTTGTAAGGAGGAAAGGCTCCATCCAAACGGTCACATTTCAGTGTGCCTGTGAAGGGTTGTGTGCAGGACTCTTAAGATGACCTGCATTCAAATCCTCCTATGGCTCATGCTACTGTAAGGGTTTGAGATCTCTCCCCTTTTCACAGTCAGTCTTTTTGTCCCAATGCCATTCCTTGGTGCTCTTCTCAAGTCTTTCATGTGGCTTGTCCCCACTACTCTGCCTCAGCTGTATTCCAAACTGTATAGTCATGGTGTAGTGATTGAGATTAATAGTCTTTGAGTAATTGCCAATTCCAGCTAAAAGGGTTAGGTTCAGAAAGACGTGCTGCAGAGACTTGACATGTAATTTTAGATGAATACTTTTAACTGTGGATTTTAAATGTCTGCTGACCTGTTCCTCACAATATTTTTTCTTGTTTTGGGAGGGACTGCAGTGAGTTGCTCTTGTCAGCTCTCCTAATTTTCCAATTTTGTGACTAGATGTAGTGTGTGTCCTTGTGTAGGCTTGTGTATGCAGCTGTAGATGTTTTTGAACTTTAAGGCATGAAGAGGTGGAGAGGGTGGTTCTGAGCTGTAGCAACTTCCCAGGGTAGTGGTTGCCAAGACAAATGTATTGTATGAGAAAATGTTTTCCCTGGGTTTGCTCTGGATTTGTCAGTTTATTGCAGGTCGTTTTCCAGGGTGAGAACCAAAAGGATGGAGGTTCCTGATTTCTCTGCTCTGTGCTCTTACCTTCCCTACTTTTTATCTTGTCTCCATATTTGCTTCTTCCCCAGAGTAAATATTTTCAAGCACTTTAATCTCATAGTCCCCATTCATGGCAGTTTCCCCAATCAGTTTAATTCCCTCTTTTGAGCAACTACTTGCTATTGCAGGATTGTGGGAGTTTTTTTCTTCCAAAAATATATAAATTTCAGTCCATGCAGATTACAGTGGTTTTAAGAAGCAAATGCAAAGAGAAATATGATGAGTTCATACTGGAGTATGTTATGCTGCCTCCTTGCTTTCTCCTCTCCCCCAATGCAGTTAAAAACATGAACTTGGGCTTTCATTAGATCCATTATCCTTCCGTTGTGCTGAAGGTGTCTGAGCACAACAGTCAGCTTATGGTAAATGTGGTGTATTGCCTGGGGTCAGGACAATAGTCTTGAGCTACAGCACTCCCTCATCATCAAGCAATAGGATAGAAAAGGGAAAATTGTGCTTAAATTCTTATTAATTTTTTCTGACAGTGCTTCAGACCTGTATTCTATCGAAGCAAACTTGTTTATTCCCAGAACCTGCCTAGCAAAGAGGGTAAAACAGTGTCATACTGCTCTGAAGCAAACTTGTTTATTCCCAGAACTTGCAAAGAGGGTAAAACAGTGTCATACTGCTCGGGAGAGGGTAGGGAGAGCAGCAAACAGTTCTGCCATCGATGAGGATGACTTGTTTCTTCTACTACTCTTTCAGTGTCCATGGCACTTAGTGGCTGGTGCTTCTGTTTCTCGGGCTGGAGAAGGGGAAGGTTAGTTTGGAGCGGGGTTAGGAAATGCACAGTAAGTGGTTCTGTCATTGGCTGAATGGATGAGTGGACTTGAGCTTCTGTTAAGCTTCTGTAGCAGCAGGTGCCCAGAGGCTGGGGAATCTGGGACCACCTCTTAGCTTGTGGGGATGCCATGGTTAGGATGATTAAATGGTATGACTTGGCTCATTAAAGATATTGATCTTGATCCTTGAGCTGTGTGGGTGGTCAGGGGTAACCTGTGTGCTTTGCAAACGCTGCATGACGTTCTAGGTTAATGCAATGGATTAATTTATTGCTGCTACAGGCTACGGAAGTGTAGGAAGGACCAATTTTGTTGCATGAACAAAACAAGTGAAGGGCATTCAGCTCTTTAGCAGAAGTGCTAATGGCTGTAAAGAATGTAGACAGGCAGGAGCAGCACAGTGTGGAGATGTGACTTTCTAGCCCAGCCACTGCATTAGGTGATATTAGTCAGGAACCTATTTCAGTGCTTAACTTTTTTATCTCTTTCCTTGAACACTTCTGAATGCTCCCAGATCTTTCCTAGACTGCATGTGGGATTCAGCTGGAAGTCCAGTTGTAGCCTGTGCTTCTTGCTCACTGGTCAGACTGGGAGCAGAGTGTAAGGAGAGAAGTGGCTTCTTGCTCACTGGTGAGACTGGGAGCAGAGTGTAAGGAGAGAAGTGGTTGAATACAGTGTTGTCAATAATTGATCTTGGACTTTTTAATTTGTTACTAAAGTTCTGCTTCTTGTGTTGCAACCTGGGATAGTTAAACTTCTGCAGGATTTGGTGTGTGCTTGAAAACAGTCTGCTCGTGGTGTGTTTCACAGCTGTACACTGCTCACTGCTGGGTTTGGCTCTTACCTCTCCTTTCCTTTCTGGGATGCTGGTTACACTGCTGTTGTTGCTGATCCTTGAAACACAGTGGTGTAACATCTACTTTGAAATAACCATGCTTCAAGCTTTTTTCTTGTGTGTTTTCTTGTTGTAAATAATTATTGATCTAAAAGGCCTTAAATCTGCCCTCTGTCCAGTAAACTCTGCTTCATTTTCATGCAATTAAAGCTGAGTTAGCTTTCTTTCATCCAGATGGGTTTTTTCCTCCATGCTTTGAGTAGCAGATGACGTGGGCTGTCTCCCTAGCAGTTAGTGGGAACCCTGGATGACAGAGAGGGGAACATAAGCTGTGGGATATTTCACACTGGGCTTTCCCAGCTGGGGGAAACTGGGAGCAGTTTCCCAGACAGGACTGTTTAGTTCCTGAGGTGATTTGACAGGAGATGGTTCAGGAAGGAGCATGGGAGATGTGGTGTTGCTGCTTCTAGGAGACTCCAAACTATTTCTAGTCCAGACTGGGCCTGACAGGTCTTACACATAAGAGGAGTGAAGTGAAGGTACCGCTCTTCCACTGCTATGGTCAGAAGGCAGTTAAGAAAGCTGAGGGAACAAGTTTAACTGCAATAAAAAGAAATGTCCTTTTGAATTCCATGGAATTAACCTGGGGAGCTTGTTGCCAACAATATGGAGATCAAACGTTGCGTGAGATTAAATAAATCAACCTATAGTTGAGAAGGTTAAATTAGATAGGATTTAAAAAAAGGATTATGAACTCCCCAGGTTTAAGGCATAAGCCAACTGTTAACTGCCCAGGCTTAGTCAGAAGTCTTCCCCTCTGGGCAAATAATTGTGTAACTGCTTGTTATAGGGTTTTACACCTTCTTTTGAAGACTTGGACAGGATATTGAAGTGGCTTTGATCTGTCAGAGGAGTTCCTACAAGTGGATTAACCGGACTATAAGGTTGTTGGGAACAAAGCAGCAGTCTGCTGTAGAAGTAGTACAGACATTTCA